ATGGGGCATCCCGGTGCGAACCCTATCAAAACTGGGGTCATCGGCCTTGGGCCGCATCCTGGCCGCTGCGAGTCACTTCTACCAGTGACTCTCAACAGCACACCGACAACGACGCACAGCCAGGCAGCACAAATTTTGGCAACACCACTGCTGCCAACTTCTCACTGTCCTCCGTTTCACTCTTCGGTTCTTCCCAACCGATGACGTCACCGCACGTCATTCTTGCTCCTGGCTACTCGCACAGCTTCAGCTACTTGACGTCTGCCATCTCTCCTGTGGTTCCGGCAGACTGAAAGCCCTGCTTACTCGACTTGGCCTGGACAACCCTGCTTCCGATTTCTCTTCTCAGCTTGTCCCTTCAGCGGTTTATCTGAGATTCACCAGCCATCCAAAGTGGCAGGCCTTTTTCTACCTCGGAGCCACTCGCGCCTCCCTCATGGCACGGGGCCGCAGCCAACTTCGCAAACTACTCCAAGTTCAGCGACATCATCTGGTCAATGCCGAACTGGCAGTCCGGTGGTGGGCACATTTTGACTTTTTCCACCACTACACCTCGGTGCCCATTCACACTGTCGTTCCGGCAACGGACCTATTTGCCACTGAACAGTTCTACATCCAGGAACTGCAACCGTCTCTCAATTTTGGCTTCATCGAGAAACATTTCCGGCCACGCACGGGCTTCATACGCCAATTGGACTTCTCCCAATCCCGGCACATGGGCTTCGCCACCATCTGGCGAAAACGCCGCCGACTACGACTACCCATCGCCCTACAACAGGCCTTCCTGGCCAAACGCGTGGACAACCGCCTGGATTTGTGGCGATTTTTGGGCGATCTTGGCAGCAACACTCTACGACGATTTGATGCCATCCGTTACATACGGAGCAGAGACTTCCCACCCGCCGCTCTCTATGTCCTTCATCGCATAGCCACACACCTGCCTGAACCACACCACCAGGCATGCCTTTCCGCCATTCGATCCAGTTTACGATTCCGGGGCCTCATTCCACCTGGCCCCTCCAGACCGATGCTTGCACCCTTCCTCGCCTGGCGACTACTGCTAACCTGGTACCGACAACGACAACCACACTCCTCTACCACACACCTCACAGTGGACACACTTGACACCTCTGCCATCACCCGCGTCTACAACGGACGCCGTCGCCGACACAAACCCACACAACGCACCCTGTGGCTCGACGACATCCCCGAGATCATTCAGGCCACCCTTGACATGCAGATCTTCTCTGTCGGCCTTCGTTCATTCAGGCAAACACGTGGGGCACCGATGGGATCCCCCGCGTCCCCAGCTCTCTGTTTGATGGTGATCGCGGTCGCCGAACAATGTTGGACCAACACTCACATCACATCGGGACTTCGCTCCGTTGAAGATACTCTCCTACTCCGCTACGTGGACAACAGACTCGTGATCGCAACCCCCAGGTGGCTCTCGACTCCGGCAGCCAACATACTGTGCGACGAACACTTCTATGGAGGAGACATCTTCCTGGACACAGAAGCCGCCCTGGACTTCTTGGGGTTCCGACTGAACCTCACAAGCAGCACCATCTCCTTCATCCCCTCGCATGAGAAGCACAACATGCTCTCCGTCAAGTCAGCCGCACCACTGATGCATAAGGAATCTGGATGTTATTCCGGACGCACGCTGATCAACCGAGTTTCCTTTCCTGAGTTTCAGCGAGGTCAGGGTCTTGCAATGTTGAAGAGGTTGCACCTCCAACACGGTTTCACCTTACAAAGAGAAGAAAAACCGTCCTTTGCGGAACCACACTGGTTTTCTTCTCTGCCTTTGCATCCTGACAGATTTGACCTGATTTTCGCGCCGCAGCTGTTTGACTGTTTGACCAAAATCCGTTACGAGCATGGATACCAACACAGCACGCCAGCTGCTCCAAGACTTCGAACTCATCCTTGGCATTGCCCAACAAGGCATCGCCACCATCCGCGAGTTCCCTGAGAGTCCGCCTGCCGAACCTGATTTGGCACCGGAGGCCACGCTCAACCCCGCCATTGAGGACCTCTTTGAGCCACCTCCTGATGCTCCAGATGAACACCTTCCCACTGATCATGACGAACAATTCCCTGATCATTGGGCTCCGCCCACCCCTCCTCCGTCTTCTCCCGGCGAAAAACGAGCTCGCCGCGCACGTGATTTGGCCTCCTCACGATCTACGGCATCCAAAACCTGCTCGTGGACCAAGCGAAGCTACCACATCGACCAGGACTGATGCCTCTACTGAGGCCGAACCTGAAGCCTCGCAGCCTTGGACTGAGGGAGAGATTGAACTCCTCCGTTCCCTTAAGACCAATTCCAAAGCCAAGTATGTGTGGTCAGTCATCGCCACAAGACTTTCTCGCACAATTGATGCTTGCAAGACTCAATGGGCCTTGCACAAGTGATGTCGCCCCAGTTGGGGCTCCGTGTGTGTGAAGCGTCCTGGAGCACGGACGGAAATTCCACATTGCAGGGGGACTGGAGCCGATTTGCCTATCCAGTCCAATGAAGCTACGGCATTTCGGTGGATACCGGATCTGATCAATCCGGCGTACCTGCCTATTTCCTGACCCTCTTTCCTGATTCCTTTTGCGGTTTCTGTTTGTCGCTGTTGCTTCCTGTTCGGTGTCGATGTTGTGACCTGTTGATTTGCGTTTGCATTCAAGCATTTTTACTGACTGCGTTTTTCATCTCGGCTAGTGAAGCCTCTCGAGATAAGTGTGTGTGCGTGTGTGTGTGGAATTTGTTTACCTCCAACATGCGTCGGCTTTCCTTTTGCCACCCCCCCCCCTCCCCGCTCCCCAAAAACCAACAAAAAGAGGAAATAAACCACAAAAAGAGGCAAAGGCAACCCCCTCCCACCCCCGCCCCCCAAAAAAACAAAAAGAAGAAGGCAACCACAAAACGCGGAAACTTAGGCTTTCCAACCGCAAGCTGAGGGTTGCTTCAGAGTCAGACGGTCCCCTGGGCACCAGACGTGTACAGCGCGTTCCGTCCCGGCAAAGAGACCTCGTCCAGCTTGCGAGGCCTTGCTTGAAGTCTTTTCGTGTGTTGGAAACCATGTTCGTGGAACTGGCCATGGCACCAATCACCCAGGAGCTTTTCGTGTGTTTTATGACACAAGGCATGGCATAGTTTCCAAAACACCCTCTTTGGCTTACATGGCCTTGCCAGTTGAAGTCTTTTCGGGTGTTGGAAACAATGTTCGTGGAACTGGCCATGGTACCAACCACCCAGGAGCTGGCTGGCCCAGTGCTTCCGGTTTCCACTATAGTAGATAGCTAGCGGAAACCATGATGTAAAACCAAGGGAATGCTCGTTTTGGATGAGTTCCTATGAGAAGTACTGGTGCATCCGAATCCCCCAAGAAAGTCAAGTGAAGGATCCCATCATACATGAGAGAGCTTTCCTGTTGATCAGCCAAGGGTTTATTCATTCTGGGCTCCTAGTACACTTGGCACCTCACGCTTGACCGGGGGAAGGGATCTTTATCTTCCCACGTGGGTATTCCTGCATGGGCAATACCCCCCCACCCTTTTTTGCCAATAGCGGGGTCCTTAAAGAAAATAGAACAACTTGGTTGATTTTGAACTGGACATGTTCTTTGGGTTCCCTTTAAAACCAACCAAAAGGGGGTTTGCCAACGCCTCACAGCTCTTGCCTGAACTAGAGCCTTTTTTTTGGAAGCTTTTCGCGGGTTGGCACCCTCAACAGCTCGACCTGGCCTAGGGCCAAGAAAGAGGTCTCTGTCATTCCTGTTGAGTTGGCAAACAAGACTTGACTCAAATGAGCCACAGTCAAAGCTCGGGGCGAAGGTTTAGGGACGGTCCAAGCCATATATGAGTGCGGCCATCCTCCCGCCTAAGTGTCTTTCCATTTGGGCAGACCATTTGATTCCGATCAGTTTAGATTGCGACTCACTTGGTAGTTCGAGAGAATGGTTTCACGGACCACTGTTGGACTTCACGGACCACGTCAGTTGGGATTTGCAACGAAATGCGGGTGGGAACAATGCAATGGGCCGATGGTTTTCGACGTTAGGGGATTTCTTCGATCATGTTTACTTGGTAACTCCCTGCCATCCCCTTAGCCTTTTAGCTTTGTGGTTTTAGTGGCAGTTTCCATTTAAACCACTAGTTAAACTTTTAGCGGGGGATCTGAGGGCAGCCCAGCTTAAGGCAACTCAACGGTTCGAGAGGTGTTTCAAGCCAACCAACTCAGCAGTTGTTTCACAGCTCGCCGGCATGTCTCCAATTCAAGGGTCACGGACTGGGAACCAGCCAGAAAAAGGCGGCGCGTTTGTTAGGCTGGACTTGACATGCTCTAAGCTGCATCTGTTTGACATGTGAAAGATCAATGGTGACCTTACAGGTTGGCGGCCAGAAACCCCGTGATCAAGGTTCCTTTGGGGTCGGGGGAGTGGAATGGTCATATTTGCGGATCAAAGCACAAAGTCACTGGTCTAGGACTGGAAGTCTTCACGTTAGTGAGAAAAAACATCTTGGCACTGAATAAAGGACCTTCTGCACACGCCTTCCTTAATTGGTGCGTCTTTTTTCGGGGTACCTTCATCGTGGTTTTAAAGGAAACCAACAGCAACACCACCAGTTGATCATTTGGGGGGTCCCCAAAAAGACACGCCTTGATCACTTTTTAAAATTGTCGCTTGGCTTGCGTTTGGTCCAAGCAAGGCAACTCGCTATCTTTATGGAGAGTAGCGGCTTCCCTCAGAAATAGCAAACGCGTTCGCTTTTTGCAGTCCGTTTGGCCACCGCAGCCCAAAACAGCCGGGTTTCCTCTGGCTTGAACAGCCATCCAAAAAGGGATCGGCACCCTCCCTCTGGCAGCGGCTTCAGTTAAGAGCTGGGCAAGATTTGCATGAATAAATTCCTTGATTGATGTCAGGGTGTCGTTAGTTTTGGGGGAGGCCCCCCGCTTATAATATACACATGCAGGTTGAGTCACCCAGGGTCGACATCGTGAG